GTTCTTTTAGGTTGGAATAAAGCACATGGTGGTGGAGTGTGGAGGGAAATAGATATTGGACAAAATTTACTATTGATTTGAATAGGGTAGTAATTAGAGTTGGATAAATTCTACCTCCAGAAGGATCTGGAAAGACAAGACAGTAAAGTGTGCTCTTGAATGCTTGTTGGGGAAGGTAGTTTAAATTCCAGTTTATGGAGATGGGAAGGGGAGGAATTTAAAAGGGGATTCTTTTTCCTCTGAAGTTTGATTTCCTTCTGAATAGTCATCTATCTAGTTTGAAAGGAGATTGCCTCCTCTCTTTTCCTCATCCTTTTTGAGGCTGAGCTCAGCTAAGTTAAGAAGGTTGTGATTTTTTTTTTAAAGATTTTAATTTTATTTAAAAAAAAATTCCTCTGGAAAAGAGAGTGATGAGAAGAGCAGCTGTGTGTTGAATTTTCTCCAGGTGAATGGGTGCAGAGTGATCTAACTACTTAGCAATAACCATATGTGAGGGTCAAGTGCATCTTGGGAGGGGTGGGATAAGGACAGACATTTGGCCAGACTGTTTCAAACAAAACCAAAAACCTACATAAAGCACTAATATCCTCTGCTGCTGTTTTTCTGTAGAAAGCAACTTATTTTATTGACTAATTTTTTTTAAAGAAAAGAAACAAAAGGACCCCGACAAACAAAACACTTTAAAAATTATTATTATTTTTTTTCCTATTTAAGTGATTTTTCTCCTTCCTCTCTACTTTTGGAGAATGAACTTAACATCCCGGCTTCTTTTGTTAAGCCAGAGCTGACCTTAATCTGTGGTTAGTTTATTAAAATAAATAAATAAAAAAACTTTGTAAGAAGAGATATTTTTGATATTAGGACTGAAGTTGAAACATGGGGTGGGGGTTAGGGCAATTTATAAAAAGGTAGTTAGAGAAATATATTTTAGTGAACTATAACCACAGATCACAGATAACTCCCAATGAGCTGATCTGTCTTTGGATTTCTCCCTTTCATTGACCCAACCCTATTATCCAGCAGATAGGGATGTAGACACAGTTGGGGGGAGGTCCTTTGCATTTTGCACAAAGCACAAGTCTGGGCAGCTTATGATCTGGCCAGAACCATTTCTAAGAGCTTTAAGCCAGAAGTCCTTCCTGGGCCAGTTTTCCGTTTCTTTATATTTTGTCCTGGGGGAAAAATCAACTATGCAATTGTATACACTCCTAGGTGCATATGGAGAAGGGGAATAAGTGTACTTAAGTGTCCAGAGTTTTAATTGGGGCTATTTTTCTGTGCTTGAACTTCTTTGTTGAGGTATGTGTTCATCAGTGTGTAGTGGAATAGAGTCCCCACATTTGATCCAAGGCGCACAAGCTGGGAATGTGTGTGTTGGGGGTACTCTGATTTGCATATGTTCCTTCTGCCCAGTCCCCGAAAGTATTCATCCAATTTTTTCCCTCACCAACAAAGCCAGTCAAGACTCACTCATTAGAACTGCTCAATTTAGAAAGGTTCCTTTCTCCTCAACAAAGGCGAAAGTCACTTATTTTCCAAAATTGACTAGTCTGCTGATTTAATCATTAACTGTGGCTATTAATTCTCAGGCATTTATTTGACAATAGATTGGTTTTAAGGAAGCAACGAGACTCCAAAGAAAGGGATATGTATATAAGAACCTAGCATGAGATGTGCACTCCCCTCAGGCACACAATTTAAATGAGTACTCAGTAATCCAATACTTTAAAAGTTCAGTATTTTTTAAAAAAATGAACGCCAAAAATCCATGTTGAACAAAAATCAAAATCTTGAAGACAGGATCTGACCAAGGACCAGAATTTGGGTGAGAGAAGTGAGGTTGGATTAATCAAGTATGAGGACGGATCCTGTCTTTAGTTAAATGTTTGAAATGTTGTTCATCATGAGTTTTTTTTAACTTTAGTTTTAATTTTTAAAAAATTGTGTCAAAATAGTATTTACCTGGGTTTTTAATCACTTCTTCCATTTTGTGCCCACAGTGAGTGCCTTGTTCACCTCACCCTAGTCTTGTCCCTGTTTCTGGGGTTGAATAACACTGATGAATCTTCCACCATGTGAGCCTCCATCCCTACCATGTACAAGACACTTAGTGGCTTAAACCAACACTGGGCTCTCCCCACACTCCCTTAGGCTTCCATATCATAGGATGATGGCCTGGACCAATAGAAGTGGAAACAGACCAGGGGTTTCCCCAGAGAATAAAACCAGGGAAGTTGATCCTCCATTGGACTGCTGTGTTTGAATTTGATCTGTTGTTAGATTTTAGTTAATGCTTTTGTTTTAAAAACGGAGGACAAATGAACAAAACCAGAAACTTTGTATCATGTTTGTTTTTATTTATAAATAAGCTGATCTCAGTTCTTTTTACTCTCTTTTCAAATGAAAAAAAAAAGAAGATGGAAATTTGATGGGGAGAGGAAGAAAGTAATTATGAGGAAAAGGGGCTTTAGGCCTTATGTAAGGATTTTATTAAGATTTTTTTTAAAGCTCGGGAAGGTACTATTAAGAGATTTTAAAAAACCTCTTCATTCTAAGGATTTGGGACCCTGAAACAATGGATTTTTTTTTTTTTTTAAATGGGGGATAGTGATGTTTGCTTTATTACTGGGCAGAGGGGTTGGGTGGGTTGGGAGTTAGGAATAATATCTGGGAAATTAAGACTGACAAGTATTGGTTTGTTGTAGGAAAGAGGAAGGGTAATCTCTGTTGAGAAGAAGGGAGGGAGGGGTTACATGGGGTGTACTCAAAATGAGCAAAAGTTCCTTGGTTAAGGAGGAGTATGTGAGTGAAGGGAGAAGGTGGACCCTGAATCCCTAGATAAAGTATGAAATCATCTCAGGCTTAAATTTAAGTGCACTTAGTTCCTTTAATCCAGGGCATCTAGGGTACCTACTGAAGTTTTTAATGTAGAGGGGAGATTTTCAGGTTTCTTATTTTTCCCCTTTTGATTTAGGACAGTGCTGTCCCCTCCACATTTTTCTGTCCTGTCCACAGTGGAACAGATACGTTACAGGGTAGGCCTCTGGATTCCTCCCTTAATTTTTATTGAGAGTTAAAAGTTAACTCAACAAAATATATAGATGATAATGATGACGATGATTTTTAAGATTCAGTCTTTTTAAGGAGTAGAGAGGGTGGCGTTAAACCCAGCACTGTGCAGGGACTTTGAATGGAAGTGTCTTCCCTCCTGTTGGCTCTCATCTTCTCAAAGCAAAACTGAAGCTGTGTATTTTGGAGCATATTGTATATTTTGGAGCCAGAAAGAATTGGAGCTGACTTCTGAGAACCTAGCTTTTGCTGTTATGACTCCTTTTAGCCACATGTCCAAAGTTCCAGGCACTTTTTTTCCTCTTAATACAGGAGCATTTCAGAGATGATTATCCCTGAATTACTCAGATACCTCTGGATTCTTTTGTCCTCTTCTTTCTCCAAGGAGGCAGTGCCCCCGACATACAGCCACTAGTGAGAGCCAGAATTAGAAGCCCCTTCCCTGCCTGTAACCACCTGCACCCCAGATTTTTCTAATTTCCTTCTTTCCCTCCAGGCTCTTCAACTGCAGATTCAGTGAGTCATACAGGCACTCTGTCTCTTTGCAGCTGATCAGTCTGTAAATCATAGGGCGTTTTGTCCCCTGTACTTAAGTTGATTAACAAAATATTTATTATGATGCCCCCATGTAGACTTTCTCTGTGCCACCTTCCTTTTTTGGCCACATGGGTAAGGGACAGTAAAAAGGAGCAACGGAAACTGGCTAAGAGGAGTGGGGGTGGGAAGGACCTTGGCCTCTTTTTATGTTTATAACTGGATCTGTGACTCATCTTGTGAGTCACTCAGCTCCACCTCCCTCCTCCAACTGCCCCTCCCAATCAGCTTTCACTCCTGGCACAAACCTGCAACCAGAGCAGGATTCTGAAAATGGAAAAATCTGATACAGCCCCTTGCTTCTCCACCCTCCTTTTCATCCAGTGAACTTCTACCGGGTTTGTGTTGGGGGTAGTGAAAAGTGGTCCTGTTAATAATCAGCTACTGCCCCCCTTTGCATTCCTGGTTAGGTGCTGATCCAAATCATCCAATTTATTTCTCTCCAATCCCCCCACCCATTCCCCCTGATGTTTTTTTTTTCCCTCTCTATTCCTTTGCTGCTCCCATACCTCAAAAGTATTAAAGAACAGAATGTTGCTCTTGAATGAAGAGTAGTGAGAAGTAGATAATGGGATTTTAAAATTGTGGTACACATCACTTCCTATGCTTTGTTTTCTTATTTACAACAGAGTTTGGGAAGTATTTTCTTTCCCGGAGAGGTTGAGGTCCGTGAATTGGGTACAGGGGTGTGAGGTGGGGTGGTGGTGCTCAGTAGCTTTTAGAACTTCTAGAATTAGGCTTCTGGGCCCCTTTCCTAGCAGGTGTATACTTTTTTGTTCCAGACTGACTCCCTGTCTCACAATATCTTCACTATTTCCATAGTTGCAGCCAAGACAGGGAAATTTTATTAAAGCTGAGGCCAGAAGGGTATGTGTGCTGCGGGGAAGGGGAGAGTTGAATGTCAGTTTGGAAAACTGGAGCCCCCACCTAAGGATTGCTGCCTCTGTACAGAGTCAAAAAACAATAAAACAGCGGCTCATTAAACTGTTATTTTGTATTTTATTTCCTGTCTTTTTCATAATAAACAGTTTTGCATTGCTTCTCCCAAGTGACCCTCGGCTGCATCTCCTCTACTTGTTTCTAGACCTCCCCCACCATCTTGGCTTCTTGGGTTGCAGCAGGGAAGGAGGGGGGCTGTGATCTTGTACTGAAAGTTTCCAGCCTCAGGTTTGAAAGCCCTGAACATGAATCATTCATTTGGAGATCTGGTGTCTGGGCTGAAGGGGTGGAGTCACGTACCTGGGCTGGGGATTTACTGCCATTTAGTTGGAGCCTGAGTGGAGAGGTATGCCTAGTGTGCTTTAATGGTCAAGGTTTAAGTGTAAGGGCTTGTTTTTGGCCTCCCAGCCCTACTCGAAAGACATGCACACAAATGTACCTGCAACGTGTCTGCATCCTGGACGCATCTCAACTTCCTCCCTTCTCCTCTGATCTCTTCACGTGAGCCATGTTTCAGGTACTCTGCAGGATGAACAAAAATTGTGACCAGCCCTCTCCCCAATTTTTGAACCTTTCCTGACAAAATCTGAGATCCAGTTTTCCATTTACTTCTTCACAACCATTTGTGTTAGATTTGTCAGAGAAGGCAGTAGGCAGACCTGAACTACTCTGCATCCCTATCCTCTTGTGCCCTTTAAGAAGCCAAACAAAAACTGAGCTTCCTAGGAAAGTCCTCCCTGGAAGAGTCCGAAGACATAGCCCAAGTCATTCCAGTAATCAGTATTACAGCCTCCCCCCCCCCCCCCCCGCCTCCCTTAAACATCTCTAATACTCATGAACAGGAAGAGAGTAGGATGTGGGCTTGGGGTAAAGAAGGGGGTCTCGGCATTTTTCTCTGTTTTCTATTCCTCTCATCTTTCTCAGGCTCCTCCATTTCCTCTCTACTTCTCCAAAATTGTGTGCATTCTCCTTTAAGGGGCTGGGCCTGTCTCCCGCCCTTTCCAGAATCGACTGAAGTTTCCGAGGAGCCTACTCTTGCTGGGCTGGACATACCTTTCCAAAGACCCCAAACTGTGCTCTGTGCACCTCAAATGCCCGTTTCCTTCCTGTTTTCCCCACTGCTTCTCTTCCTAACCTCCGTCTTGTCAACTACAAGATTCAGCTTCTCCCCAGAAGGACTGAGCATCCTTAAGGTTTCCCACCCTTAACTGCTCCATCCCCGGATGGAGCCAGAGAAATGTGGTGGGGGGGTCGGGGCCAGAGTTTCAACATTGCCCCCCAGAAGGAGGAGCCAGAGATGAGGGTAAGGAGGATTGGGGGTTTGGCAAGAGAGTGTGAATGGGGATGCAGTGGAGATACGGAGGGGAAGAAAAGGATCTAGAGGAAGAGGGTGTGTCTGTCATATCAACTTTGGTTGATGGAGCTTGATCTGCCTTTTACACAGTCTCATGTGGTCTCATTATCCATTAACCAGCCCCTCCCTTTACTGCCTGCCAACCCCAATCCTGGTTCCCCACAGCAGAGCTCAGTTTCCCCATGAGTCTGGGTACAGAAGCCTTCAAAGGCAGTTGCTGAGATAATTCTAGACCCCAGAGTTGGGGAGGCCCAGCATTAACCCTACACCCTTCTCAACAGTTGGGACCAAAGTCTGTCCAGGGAAACAGGATGCCTGAGCCCAGGAGTCGTCAGCTTGGCAGTTGCCTGGCCTCTGGATGCCTCCCAGGTAATGACCTGATTTCCTAAGACACCTCCAAATTTCATCCTACTCAACTTTGTTTCACAGCCTCACCAAAGATACCTCTGAGTTCCTTTCCTGTCTCAAAGTGCTTCTGTCTGAGGCCTCCTTTTTTCCCTCTGTCCCTATCTGGTTGAGAGCTTAGACCTTGCTATTCCCTGTTTTCTGTCTTTCTTCTATTGCAGGCACTGCCACTTAGCTCTATCCCCAGCCCCATCCTGTTTTCTTGACCATTCCTCCTTTTCTCATTTACTATGTGCCAAGTAACATTAAGGCTAGTCATAACCAGGCTTCCCTTCTTCCCTTTTAGGGGAACAGATCCTAGCATGGGCCCCAGGACTGAGGAAAGGGCTAGAACCTGAATTGTCTGGAACCCTGATCTGTACTAACTTTAGGGTCACCTTCCAGCCCTATGGATGGCAGCGGAGTCAGGTGAGATGACTAGGACAACAGAGCAGACAGCGAGAGTTAAATGGGTAGGGGAGTCTAGAAGGATTTAGACAAGAGTTACGGATTAAGGTGTGTCTTTTGAATGTATAAGTGATAGCCAATAGGGGTTATTTCTAGGGGCATTGCCTCCTAGAGTGGGTGGGGACCACTAAATTAGGGAAGACAAGGGTTACTACAGATGTCTGCTGTAGCGGTTATGTGCTTCCTCCAGGATACGCCCCTGAGCAGTGAATATGATTTTGCACTGATCAACATTGGGAGATTAGAGGCTGGTAAGTGTGTGGGTTTGGTGAAAGGGGTGTTGGGACCCTCATCATCATCATCCTATTCCCCAAATACAGCCAGGAATGGGGTGGGATGGGCTGTTCGAGTTCCTCCCAGAGGGACCCCATGGTTACAATGCTAACTCTTGACTTCAGTGAGTGGCTTGTCCCGAGTTCAGCTCCTCCGTCCAGGATCCCAGCTTAAATTTATCCCTGAGGAGATTCTGATTCATGGCCAAGACTTCCGGCTGCTCAGAGTTGGTTTTGAGGCTGGAGGACTAGAGCCTCAAGCCTTTCAGGTAAGGAGCCCCTAAATAAAGATCTCGCCTCTCCTTAGAATAAGGAGGTCCTCTCCCTGGCAAGTCCCAGTACTTCCCCGTCCTCCAGGGTCCCTCTCATCATTCCTCTTGCTCCTCTCCTCCAGAAGAAGCTAAACGGCTGTGTTAAATGATAGTGTCATGAGAGTAAGGGACAATTACCAGTTGTCTGACTGTGGGCAAGTTTCCTCCTCTGAAAAATGGGAGGGTAGGATGATATTATTCCTAAGATTCTTCCCAAAATTGATATTCTCATTCTGTGGTTCTAGATATGTTCTCCTGACCCCAGTTCCCATGACTTATGGAAGCCCCCTCCTCCAGGGACTGCCTTTGCTGTTCACTATTGGTAAAGACAGTGGAGTGCATGGCCCCGTTTCCTTCTTTTCACTTCTTCAGTCTAAGACAAAAGGATGGGATGTACTTTCCTCCATAGGTGACCATGGCCATTGTTCAAGCCAGAGCTCAGAGCAGTCACACCCAGCAGTGTGCAGGAGCAGCCCTGAGCAAGGCTGGTGAGTAAGGGTGCCGTAGGGCAAGGAGACTGAAGCAGCAGGCCTGGCCAAAACAGAGAGCGGAGAAACTGTGTCTGGTTCCTTTTCTTTCTCCTCTGTGCCTTTTCCTGCCCTAGGCCAGGGTTCTGGCTCCAGGAAACCACCTATTCCTCTCTTGGAGACATTTGAAGACTGGGAGATTGAGCGGAAGAACCAGGGAGCAAAAGGCTGGAGGGTTAGCACTGTCAATGAGAGGTTCGACGTAGCTACCAGGTGATCTTCTGGTCCACTGCAACCCCTGCTGCCCTTCCAATCTTCCTATAGTTCTCAGATCCTCTAAAGCTAGAAATTCCCGCAAACTCCAGTCTCCTAGGTTCTCTACAAAGCTATCTGTGTTACCTCCTTGTTCTTAAAACCTGAGATCCCTTGGAATGTCTCTGCAAAACAGCTTCCTTGTAATATCAGCTTTACAGCTGTGACATCACTTTCAATTTCACAGCCTCCCCCGTTACTTCTGGGTCCCCAGCCGAATTCTGGACAGTGAGGTCAGGAGAGCATTTGGACACTTCCGTCAGGGCCGTGGACCGGTCAGTGTGGGGATAGGGTAATATTTGGAATTAGAGGGTCATGGAAGGTCAGGGGACAATGTGGAAGGAGGGACCCTTGTGAGGTCATTGTGGGGGCAAGGATAGCTTGGGATTAGTGTTTCTCCCTCAATGTCATCCTTCACATCCATCTAAAGCGCCTGTCCTGGCATCACCCTGGGGGTAGTGATCTTCTCCGCTGTGGAGGCTTCTATACAGCAAGTGACCCTAACAAGGAGGATATCAGGTAAGGGGGGGGGCCTGATGAGAAGACTCACGGATTAGGTGTTCAGGGAAGACTCCTTTCCTTAATTTCTGACTCCTCCCCTCCAGAGCAGTGGAGTCCATGCTCCAGGCTGGGCATTCTGACATCGTCCTGGTAGACACTATGGATGAGCTGCCTAGTCTTGCAGATATCCAACTTGCCCACATGAAGCTGAGGGCCCTGTGCCTGCCTGGTGAGAATAACTTTTCACTCTTCACTCTTGGGTCAGCTGACCCTTACCTGGTTTACCCTTTTCTCTGCTATAGAGATGTAACCATTCAGTCCAATGATCCTTCCTTCATTTAGTTTTCTAACTCCCATCTCCTGTAGACTTACTGAATGACTGCCTACTTGCCCCAGCTTTCCCCTCCCCCCTCAGCACTTGGGATTGAATCCAGGGACAATGTACCACTAAGCTACACTCCCAAGGTCTTGCTAAATTGCTTAAAATTTATGATCCTTCTGCCTCAGCCTTCAGAGTTGCTGGGATTACAGGCATGTTCCTGGCCCCAACTTAATTCTTTAAAAAATAATTTTATAAAATTCAAATTTCACCTATCCTAAGTGTACAGTTCAATGAATTTTCTTTTTTTTTTTTATAGAATGCATTTTTTAAGGATTTTTTTTTAGTTGTTGATAGACCTTTATTTATTTATATGTGGTGCTGAGAATCGAACTCAGTGCCTCACACATGCCAGGCAAGCGTGCTATCGCTGAGCCACAACCCCAGCCCACAATGAATTTTCTTATAGTTACAATATTGTATAGCAAATAACATACTTTTTTTTTTTTTTCAGTGCTAGGGACTGGCACCTGGTGCATGTTAGGCAAGCACTCTACCACTGAGCTACATCCTCAATCCCATTAACACAATATAATTTTAGAAACCTCATGGCCAGGGCTGGGACTGTAGCTCAGAGGTGGAGCACTTGCCTAGCACATATGAGGCACTGTGTTCATCCTCAGCACCACATAAAAGTAAATAAATAAATAAAATAAAGGTATTGTGTCCATCTACAACTAATAAGAAAGAAACCTCATGGCAATTTACACTTACTTTTCATTCCTACCCTCAGCGTTAGGAGGCCATACCTGACTTCTTATTAACCCATCAGGCTATACACCTGAATCCTGAGTTCTTTTGACCTCTTTGCCCTTCTGACCCCTCTACTCCCTGATAGACTCATCTGTAGCTGAGGACAAATGGCTCTCAGCCTTGGAAGGAACTCGATGGTTGGACTATGTCAGGTACTCCCCTCCTTCTTTTAGTCAAGATTTATAATTTTAACTTCTATTAACTTGGACTCTTTTTTTTTTTTTTCCGGGTACCGGGGATTGAACTCAGGGGCACTTGACCACTGAGCCCCATCCCCAGCCCTATTTTGTATTTTATTTAGAGACAGGGTCTCATTGAGTTGCTTAGTGCCTTGATTTTGCTGAGGCTGGCTTTGAACTTGCGATTCTCCCATCTCAGCCTCCCAAGACGCTGGGATTAGTCATGTGTCATTGGGCCCGGCTTAACTTGGATTCTTAAAATGGCTTTCCATCATTCTTTTTGGTTTCCCAGGACTGTTACTGCTACTTCTTGGAAGAAGGGGCAGGATTTTTGCGGCCCTATTTCATCCCATGACCCAGTACTCCCTTTCCCTGAGTATATCATTCTTCCCCATTTTCCTCACCTGCCCCTTCAGGTCTTGTCTTCGAAAGGCCAGTGACATCTCAGTTTTAGTGACATCCAGGGTTCGTTCTGTAGTACTTCAAGGTAAGTGCCTTGAGTCACCTGGCTCCATTCCTTGCCTTTTTCCTTTACCCACCTGGATAGGTTCTGTTAAGGGAGAAGATCCATAGGCTTGTCCCGGTCTAGTACTCTCACCTTTTCTTCTCTTACTAGGAACTACCCATGAGCTCTAGATCCCATCCTTCAGAGTTATCTCTACATTCCTCTTAAAGCTTGTCCCTAACATGAAGGTGTTCTTAGCCTCTTTCTGCCTTTCTTTCTGTCAGTGGAGGGTATTTGAGGTTGGGGTGAGAAGGTCACTGTGGAAGCTGGTTTGAGAACTGTGATTCTGTTTCCTATATGTGAAACTGGATATTTCTATCCAGTAGGAGTCTAGGAAGTGAATCATTCAAGCTCTTTGTTTTCTCTTCACTTTTGTGTGCCCTCTCAATCCTGCCTATCCCAAACTCTCTCCCTGTGCCCCTCAATCATCCTTGCCTTTTCCTCTTCTCATTCTCTCCTGCCTGTTTCTTGGACCCCTTTTCTTTGTCCCTTCTTCCTCTTTATCACCCAGAGCGCAGTGATCGTGATCTCAATGGCCTCCTCTCTTCACTCGTCCAGCTGCTTTCAGCCCCTGAAGCCCGAACACTGTTTGGCTTCCAGTCACTAGTGCAGCGAGAGTGGGTGGCAGCAGGACACCCCTTCCTGACCCGGCTTAGGGGAACTGGGGCTACTGAAGAGGTGAGAACAATCTGGGTTGGTTTTGGGGTATTACTAAAGAAGTAAGGAAATGAGAAAATTGCATAATATAAATTCACTGGAGGGGAATTAGGTCAGATGGTTTCTGAGATTAGGCTGATCTTGAAGACCCACAAGTAAGGCCCCACTAAAGTGACATTTAGTCTTGATGTATTTTATGAGAAGTGAGGTTTGAGGGTATGGAAGGGGAAGGTGATGCACACTTTCAGGACACTGGATTCAGGTTTTCATTCTCTGACCCCTTTAGCATTTGTTGCCTATGTCCCCCATCCCTTGTCATTGTGTCATCCTCCCTCTTTAGGTCCACACAATCCTACCAACCTCTTAATCTCTCTCTTCTCAGGCCCCAGTATTTCTCCTCTTCCTTGATTGTGTCTGGCAGCTCCTCCAGCAGTTTCCAGCTGAGTTTGAATTCTCTGAGTTTTTTCTTCTTGCGCTTCATGACAGCGTCAGGGTTCCGGACACTCTTACATTCCTGAGAAATACCCCTTGGGAACGTGGAAAGCAGAGTGGACAGGTCAGTGATGTCTAATTTTTTTCCCTTTTTCCTTTTCTATTGAGACGTACTCTCTAAAGTTTAGTTTTTATTTATTTTATGAGAAGTGAGGTCTGTGGCTCACTTCTCATAAGTGAGTTCAGAGGGAAAAGTCGATAATCAGTCTCAGGACTAGACTTTTGGTCTACATTTGATGCCTGAACTATGAGGTGAGAGTTTCATGATTTGTCTCTAGATTTGGGATACACACACACACACACACAAACACAAACATTAATCACCATTTTTCTTTGCTTTCTTTGTGCAGTTCAATTCTTTTACTCAAGTTTATACTCCAGGATACTCCCAGCCCCCAAATGGGAACTCTGTTAATGGGCAGCTGTCTGTCTGGGACTGGAATTTACGCTACAGCAATGAACAAATATTACAATTTCATAATCCTGGCTATGACCTGGAGCACTGCCCAGATTCCTGGTTCCCTCGACAGCAGGTGAGATGCCTAGATTTTCTGAGATCCCTTGACTTTCTCTCAGGTTCGTGCTACTAGATGAGAAGTTGAAAGACACAATGTCTGAGTTCCTCAGGGAAAACTACCCATTCTTCTTCTGCAGCTGTCACCATTCCTGTCTCCAGGAAGACATTAGTCTTAGAATAGCAGAGGTCATCCTTCTTGTCTTTATTTCCACATACTAGTCTTCCTGTCTCATGTCCATATTTTATAAAGTTCTCTAAAATCAACTCTATTCAGCCCTAAGGCTTATTTGAAACTTAAGAACAGATGAATTCTGAGGAAGAAGCTTAAGTTTTAGTTACTAGTGGATATCCCTTCCTGATCCAGTCTGGAGAAATTAGGGTTATCTACCATCTCGGTTACTAGTTGATTTCCCTTTCCTTTTTAGTCGAACTTCATGGTTCCTGGCCTCCCCAGTTCTGTGTGGCTCTTCTCTAGAGGGGCTCTGACACCCTTGAATCAGCTCTGTCCTTGGCGAGATACTCCCTCCTTACTGGCAGTCTCTTCTCGTTGGCTCCCTCGACCTGCTATCTCCTCTGAAAGCCTGGCTGACCAGGAGTGGGGGCTCCCCTCACATTGGGGAGCTTGCCCTTTACCTCCAGGGCTACTGCTGCCTGGATGTCTGGGACCCCAGATCAGGCTCTGGAGACGCTGCTACCTAAGGGGAAGGCCTGAGGTCCAGGTGAGAAGGGAAAATGGATTGGGAGTGGAGAAGGGGCTTCTCTGATGAACCAGATAAACAAAGCTGAGAAGACAAGGGACTAGGGGCATTGGGAAGTAAAAGTACCAGCCCTGCTGGTAACAAACTGTAGATTTGGAAGTGTAAAGGGGTGGGGGAAACTGCTTGTGGCTTAGATTAAGAATAATTAGGGCACAGATGGAAGGGAAGGGCATTAAAGACACCAGAAGTAGTGGACAGATCTGAGAAGCAGAAAGCTAGAACTGTAATAATATTCCTTTCTGCCTTTTTTTGCCCCCTCCCCAGCTGGGCCTCTTAGCTCCCACAATCTCTGGTCTCCAGAGTGAGCTATCCCGTCTTCAGGAGCTATTAAGAAAATGGACACCAAGAATATCTCCTGAGGATCACTCCAAGAAAAGAGATCCAAACACCATTCTCTCTCAAACTGTTGAAATTGCTAGCATTCTTAAAGGCAAGGCAGAGAGGGATCTGAAAGAAGGAGGGCTCTAATCCTTCAGTTTTTCACAATTGTCCTTGTTGCCTCAATCTTCACATTCCAGCCCTTAAACAAGCTCACTTAATGGACTTGAGTTTTTGTCCATGCTGATCTCCAGCTCTTTCTCCTTTCCGTTTCTTCCTGGTATTTTTGTTTGTGTGACTTGAAGAATTAAGAAACAAAACAATCCAAAATGTGATTGTCTCTTTTTTTGGAAGGCAATTCCATGCCTTTTGGATAACTATCTATTAAATCTTAAGATCAGAGATGCTGTTCATCAGTCCCAAGAAGATGGCCTAGAGACCTCATTCTCACCCCCTCTTGCTGATGCTTTAATTCCAGTTTCTACGGAATGTCTTTAAGAAATTTCTACTTCTTTCCTTATAATTTTTTTGGAGAATGTATATTTTTGTAGTGGCATTTCTATTTAAGGAGTTCATTGAAGTACAGAATTTCTACAGATTGCTAGCATTGTGTCTTGTGTTTGAATAAAAGATCCTAGGTAGCAGAGCAATGTGTGGAAGGGGGAGTGACCTAAAATAGGAGAGCACCCACCATATTATTGCCAAAGAAATAGGGATTTGGGTGGGCTGGGGTGGTAGCTCAATGGTAGAGCGCTTGCATTGCACGTGTGAGGCACTGGGTTGGATCGTCAGCACCAGTATAAATAAATAATAAAGGTCCACTGACAACTAAAAAAATATGAAAAGCAATAGGGCTAGGTGAGCCTCCACAGCATTCACATACGATTTGGGAAAATGGTTCTCCTTGTTTCTAGAGGGTGGGACGTGAGCACAGTAAGCGGGCGGGCGGGGCGGGGCGGGGCTGGAGGTTGACACTTGAGCCTCTTCAATCCCAGTCGCCCCTCGACTTTGTGACACCCCACCTCGGGGCCTGACTCCCCCGCCTCCCTGCGCAAGAACAGGAGACGAGCTCAGACCTCCCCCAATTCCCTCCCCGCAGGGCAAACGAAATACTTGGAGCCGGGTCAGGGCTGAGGCCGGCTGAGCCCGTGGGGTGGGGTTTTCGCGGCACACCGTATCGCTCGGCTACAGAATATATGAAAGACAGTTTCGCTACTTCAGCTTTTGACTTTGGAGAGCAGTGTCACTCCCTGACGTCCCAGCACTGCCTTAAGAGGGTCTGAGTTTCCACTCGGCCTCCGGCACGAAGCCCCGGCGCCTCACTACGCCCCGGCACCGCCACGCCGCTGCGTTTCAGCGACTCCTAAGATGGCCGCGGCCGCTTCCGGCCCCGCCCCGCCAAGTCCCACCCACCGCTGGTGTCTGTTCCGGAAGTGGAAATAGCAACGAGGTCAGAGGGCGGAGCTGGTGCTTAGAGACGGCGGGAGCTCTTTCGCCATGGCTGCGGGGCCGATATCCGAACGGAACCAGGGTAACTGGACAGGACGAGCCTGGGATGGGCCTCAGGGGACCAAGAGGCCCCAGATTAGGAGCAGTAGCTTCTGCCAGGCCGGGAGGCTAGACCTTCCCCGGAGGCTGCGAGACCAGCCGCCCTGGTGTTGGAGGCGGGGTGGCCAAATTCAGGCCGAGGCCTGCGGCAGGAGTGGTTCAGTCCCCCTCCAGGTCCAGTGCCCTCTCCCTTCCCACTTAGAAATAAAGAAAATAGCGGGGCTCGGCGGCACACGCCTGTGATCCCAGCGGCTCGCGAGGCCGAGGCAGAAGTAGCCCAAGTTCGGGGCCAGTTTCACTAAGACCTTGTCTCCAAAAAACTGAAAAAAAAATCTGCCGAGAAAGACAAAATCTAAAGCAGTAAACTGAGTTAAACTTTAGAAGATTCTCTAGGTTCTAGGAAGAGAGAGACTTAGGACTTAAACTAACTTTGTTTTCTTTTTTACACCCCATCCCACTCCCAGTCCTGCCGGGATTCCATCTTTGCGTTCTTGTCACCTTTCTCCTGTTGTACTCGCACCCCTTCCCTAACCTCTCGCTCCCTCCTTCTAGATGCCACTGTGTACGTGGGGGGCTTAGATGAGAAGGTTAGTGAACCACTGCTCTGGGAACTCTTTCTCCAGGCAGGGCCCGTGGTCAACACCCACATGCCAAAGGATAGAGTCACTGGCCAGCACCAAGGTAAGTACGTGGCAAGAAGTGAATTTATGTATTAAGGGGACAAATGCAAGAGCTGAGCTTATGTACTGGGGGCATGAATGCTCTTGAAGCGTCCTAATTATTCTTTGGAATGAGCATCCTAAACAGAATTCTTTCCCTTAAGCTTCAGTTCACAGTTCCTGGAAGCATTATCAGTTAAAGTGAGGTTATTATGAGTTATACCTTTTTTGAGTCTCTTCACTTGAGTTGTTAACTTTCCCTTCTTCACTTCCCCAGGTTATGGCTTTGTTGAATTCTTGAGTGAGGAAGATGCTGACTATGCCATTAAGATCATGAACATGATCAAACTCTATGGAAAGCCAATACGTGTAAACAAGGCATCTGCTCACAACAAAAACCTGGATGTAGGGGCCAACATTTTCATTGGGAACCTGGACCCAGAGATTGATGAGAAGCTGCTTTATGATACTTTTAGCGCCTTCGGGGTCATCTTACAAACACCTAAAATTATGCGGGACCCCGATACAGGCAATTCCAAAGGTTATGCCTTTATTAATTTTGCTTCGTTTGATGCTTCGGATGCAGCAATTGAGGCCATGAATGGGCAGTACCTCTGTAACCGCCCTATCACTGTATCTTATGCATTCAAGAAGGACTCTAAGGGTGAGCGTCATGGCTCAGCAGCTGAACGACTTCTAGCAGCCCAGAACCCACTCTCCCAGGCTGACCGTCCTCATCAGCTGTTCGCAGATGCGCCCCCTCCACCTTCCGCCCCCAACCCTGTGGTGTCATCACTGGGATCTGGGCTTCCTCCACCAGGTAAAGGTTATGTTTGTCTTGAGTCTAATGGGGGAGGGGCAGGAAAAAGAAAAAGGAACATGAAGGAGCTGGATGTTGTTGGTAGGTGATGAGAAGGGAATGGGGAGTGAAGATAGTGGGTTTCTTTAGCAGATTGAAGTTGCTTTGAGTTTTTTTTTAACATTGCTTTTGACTTTGAAGCATGGTAGGAGAGTAAGGAACTTACCCTGCCTGAAGAGGCCAGATTGGGACAGGCTCTTTAAAGATATTCTCTTTTCACCTCCATTAACTCTTACTTTCATTTCCTGGGTAGGCATGCCTCCTCCTGGCTCCTTCCCACCTCCGGTGCCACCTCCTGGAGCCCTCCCACCTGGGATACCTCCTGCCATGCCCC